GGGTTCTGAAACAGTGGCAGCAGAAAGTGTTGCATCTGCTAAAGGTCCAAAGGGGGTGATGAGCTGAACATGCTACCTGTATCTAACAGCACAAGATGTCTGGTGACAGCTATTAAGTGTGAAATATAAGTAAGGGTCAAATCAACAAGGACATTAACAGTTTAACAACTATCCTGCAAATAAAGGTTTCAGTGTGAACTTGTGAAATCAGTGTCATCTCAGAAGCTCCATGAAAGAAACACTTGTGCAATAACACCAATGAAATTCAACAGTTAAGAGCAGATCTGTGTAGACCTCTGAGAATCTAGTGAAAAGACTTCTAGCAGTCAAGAATGGACTGAAGTTTCGAATGCTAGAATTATCCTTGCTACTATTTTCCTTAGATGGCCTCTGGAGCTTTCAAGGAGTAGCTATAAGTCCTATTATTTTAACTACAATGCACTATAATTTCATTCCCTACTGTCTCTAAAGTCATTGTATACTTCAGTTTTTGCAACGATATTAGACAATTATTATAAAATAGATATAGGAGTATTCAATTGGTGGTTTAGTTTCCTATAATTAAAAAAAAAGGTGTCAGGAGGGAGCCCTTCTTGAAAAACTAGCTGGAACCCACAGGGTTTTCTACATGTTGCCATTTTCAGACACCTACACTGAGGATGTGGCAGAACTGACAGTAATTGCAATTGTAAATTATGTAAGAACACAAGAATGGAAGTGATAGATTGGGTCAAAGGTAATACAGGCTAGTGTGTCCCCCTGACAGTGCCTAGTAGCAAATTCTTTGAGAAAAGACTATGAACAGGAAAAGCACATAGGAACTATGAAGAAGGAGGCAGCCCAAGGAAAAAGACAATAAAATATTTGAAAACCATACCCATGTGAGAAATGACTGACAGTTGATAAAAACTTGAGCATTACAGGGTTAATTGCTATTTTTCTGAGCTTCTCCAAAATGTACTGTAAACTAAAGTACACCCTCCATGAAACATCACAGCCACAAACCACAATTTAATGCTGATGCTTCTTTTTTTCTGTGCTATTTAATCACAAAATTCCCAGAAGCACTTCCATGTCTAAAAGAAAATCATGGGCCCTCCCCTTTCTTTATATGCTTTTAAAGTCCTTTCTTTCAGTAACTTCTCGCTTGATTCCCCTTCTTTCTCTGTCCATATCCAGGAATAATTGCATGACAGTGCATTGTCTTCCCAATATGCAGTATATGTACTAGGAGTGCTACCTCAAGGGATAACCTACAGCACTCTAGAGAAGCACAGCCCCTCTCTCTACACAGCACATTAGATACAGAAAAGATTATTTTGTTTTGCCATGACAGGGTGCACGAAAAATGGATAGGTCTGTCAATGCTGTGACCACTGCTGGGAATAAAACACTTCAAAAGCTTTTTAGGAAAGTTTAACTCCTGCACTATGAATATGAATGGTAGCTTTTAAATGCAACTCTCAGCTACACGTGGAAGTCAAATGATTCTCTCAGATCACTGAGTGGGTGGAGTATTACCACAAACAGCTAAGCTGTAATCCATCCATCTCATAGACTCATTTTTCTTTGGCACAAAACCACATTCATTTGCCAAAGACAGTCTGAGCTGGAATCATATAACATTCATATGTAGATACTACACAGTTACTACTATTTCTTGCAGACAACACATACCAAAGTTGCAGTACATAAAAGCCATTTTTAAAAACTGCAGCTAATTGATTTACCAAAAAAATTAAGACTATTAGCCAGCCAAACAGACCTAAACCCCAGTTAGTTAACATCATTGCTGTTTTACCATTAACAATAAAAACATGTTGCCAAAATCTGTGTAATCTTGGATCTATTTGGAAAGATGAGGTCAGAACTGTAGCTAGGGGAAGTCTGAATGGAAAGGTTCATCACAGCTGTAGCTTATAACTGAACAGACAGTTCAACACAGTTTGTTAGCTGAAGAAATGTCAAAGGAAGAGAAGTTCAGGATGATTTTCAATCATTAAAAAGATAAATAATTTTGCAGCAATTTTAAACAATCCACAAGAGCTTCAAACAAATCACACAAGTAGGCTGTACGACTAATATAAATGAGTTTGAACAGAATAAATACGTTATTCATCTAAACAGCAGCAGTACGTGGATATAAATGTGTTTCATTCTTAAAAAGAAATATGGGGTATCTTCAAAGTTAGAAGAAACAGCTTTATAAATCAATGTTTTCTAAAAGCCCCTGTGGACCACCATACATGGTTCATCACAATTAGTTTAAAATTAATAGCACTGAGTAGATGTAAATGGACATAACATTTGATTTTGACCCTACAGAAAACATAAATTAATCAACAAAAATGGAAAATACATAGTTTGTAGATACACAAACTGAATTTAGTGTCTTTGATGGGTAAGATAAATGGAAATGAATGGCAATCAACATACTGGTATTCCAGTTGATATAACCAACATGCTGATAATTCTAAGTTAAATAATTTTAAGTAGATACAAATCAGTTAAACAGTATCATAGAAAGGGCACTGTGTATATAAAATTTAATTCTAACACAACTGGTTTTTACATGTTTTTAGCTTTAAACACAATAAACATTACTAAACTTTTAGTTTTGTACTCAAATACATAAGGAAAACAATAACAAAGGGATTTAACATTTCTAAGTACAGCCCCCATAGCAGAGTCGACGTGGCTCTGTGTGATTTATTTTGGCTTGCTCTCTTTATAAGCTGCCAAAGTTAATTATAACATTAAATTATTTCACTAAACAAATTGCATGCTGATATCACTGAGAATGTTATTTTACCCTGTGATTTAAAAGCCAAGACCATTACCAAATACACTTTTTATTCTTGGCCAATTGTTCTTTTCCACCATGACTCCAGAGAGCAAATTGTTCTCACCCATAATTACAGTCACTTTCTAAAACAAAAGAAAACACACTGAAATTGTTACAGGCGGCATCAACAATTTCAATCATGTATTATCTGATTAAATAATAAATGCATTATAGTATCAAAACATCAAAATACACTTTTTATTTGGAAAATAAAACATTTTCCTTTTCTTTTTTTTAATGCGTTCACATTCAATTAAAGTCTAGGCTAGAAAAGAGCCAATCTGTAACATTCTCCTGCTTGAGAAATACTGAAGCAAAGCTGTGCCAAGAATCAAAACCATGTCTTGAGATCTTGCCAAGTTATAGCAAAAGAGTTTTTTCTCATGAAAACACTACCAAGTTTTAACACTCTTCATGATACAATAGCTAAATAATAGTTAGGATGCAGGCAATTCCTTACAAATCAAGTCCTCTTTCACAGCCACTAACAGTGGTCATAAAGGCTGTGATTTTCTCAAATCATTTCTCCTGCCCACTTCTTGGCTTAGGGGAGCATACAACTGCATTGAGGAAAAGATTACCTGAAACTACTGCAAAATGCTGCCACAAAGGGAATTAACCTCACATTGTCACAGGTACTTCCACACATATTATCAGGAAGGACTAAGATGTTTTTCTACATCCAGAAGGACTCTGTTTTGGCAGTAGAGTAGAATCAAGTACCTATTATTTTGCTAAAATTTGAATACCACATTAATATTTTGTAGCACAGTTAGATTCTTCTGGTTTTTGTTTTTGGTTTTTTATTTATTTATTATTTTGGTCTGTGAGCATTGAGTTGGAGACCACTAATGAGCTGTATACCTCAGGAGTCAATACTGAGTTCAGTCCTATTTAACCTCTTCATTAATGATCTGGATGATCATTAATGAGAGTGTACACTTAGCAAGTTTGCAGACTACACCAAACTGGGAGGAGTGGCTGTTACACCGGAGGGTGGTGCTGTGATCCAGAGGGACCTTGACAGGCTGGAGAAATGGGCTTGCAGCAATCCCATGAAGTTCAACAAGGGAATGTGCAAAGTCCTGCACAGGAACAACCCCAGGCACCAGCACATGCAGGAAGCCACCCAGCTGGAAAGCAGCTTGGCAGAAAAGGACCCAGGGGTCCTGTGGATAACAGGTTGAATACAAGCCAGCAGTGTGCCCATGCTGCAAAGAAGGTGAATGGTATCCTGAGCTGCATTACACAAACCATCACCAGCAGATCAAGAAAGGCAATCCTTCCCCTTTATTCAGCACTGGTGAGGCCACATTCAAAGTACCATGTTCAGTTCTGGGCTCCCCAGTACAAAAGAAACATGGACATACTGGGGAGAGTCAAACAAAGGGCAAAATTATGATTAAGAGGCTGGAGCATATAAGGAAAGGCCAAGAGAGCCAGGACTATTCAGCTGGACAAGAGAAGGCTCAGAGGGCTCTTACCAAGGTATATAAATAGTGAAGAGTGGGTGCACAGAAGATGAAGCCAGCTTCTTTCAGTGATGCCCAGCAATAAATGGGACAAAAGGTAACGCGCACAAGCTGAAACACAGGAGGTGCTGTCTGAACATCAGGGAACACTTTTTTACCATGAAGGTGACTGAGCACAGGTTGCCCAAAGAGGCTGTGGAGTCTCCATCCCTGGAGATATTCAAAAGCCACCAGGACATGGTCCTGGGTAACCTCCTCTAGATGGCCCTGCTTGAGCAGGGAGGTTGACCAGATGACCTCCAGAGGTCCCTGCCAACCTCAATCATTCTGTGATTTTGTGATAATTATCTCAGCAAAGTTGGATTCTGGCATTCTGATATATTTAAGCACATGTTTGCATTCCAATCTTATTTGTCATAATACAGCATTTTACACATAATATAAACCATTCTATGGCATTATAGCAATGTTCAGACATATGGATATCGCAGGGCCTGGAGACTATAATAAAGGCAGGGGAGTCACATTTAAAGTAATTTTACAGATTTCATACTCACACTGCTACATTATGGTTGGACATATAGAGAAGAAAATAGTCAGTAAAATGGGACAACAGCAAAGCACAGAGTGAAGGCACAGTTTAAAGAAAGAAATGAAATTTCAAAAATACATGTAATACTTACTGATACTTCTAAAGCTAGGCCAGTGAAGAGAAGAGCAACCTCGCAGATTCAATCGTAATACATATGGACGCCACTTCTGCAAAATATTTACTACTATTTTGTCCTGAATTTTATGCTTTACTGATGAAAAATTGATCTAAAATTTAAATAATTGAAACGTAATTCAGTACTAAAAATACGTAGTACATAAAAAATACACAAAATGAAAATCACTAGCAAATACATGAAGTTCTATGTTATCAACTGAATCAATAGTCTGGAAAACACAGAAGTGCCTGTGTATTACATATATAAAAAATTTAGACAGCTGACTGCAAACAAATGTAGAGGAAGCATCTGTCTACAGTACTTATGGAGCTGAGGCAAGTTCTGAACTACCAAATTATGACATGTCAGAATATCATGTGCAAAGAAAATTGTCAGACTTGAATATTTACTTTATTTGCTTCCCTTTAAGAGGTATAGAATTCCAAAGTTACTAAAGGTAATTTTCTCTCATTAATGGTCTACTGATACATCAAGATATCAAGAACATGTAACCTACCACCCTAGTTTTAGTGGAAGAACCCTTTGATTTAAGCTGCAGGCTGAGGTTTTTTGACTAAAAACATTATTTTTCTTAGTATCTGTTAAAAGTCCAAATTTAAGAGGTTTTAACAGAAGTTAGGCAGGATTTACAAGGAGCATCTGAGGGCACTGGAGTTGTTTAGCATGGAGAAAAGGAGGCTGAGGGGAGGCCTTATCACCCTTTACAACTACCTGAAAGGACATTGTAGTGAGGTGGGTGTGGGTCTCTTCTCCCTAGTGACAGGTGACAGGACAAGAGGAAACAGCCTAAAGTTGCACCAGGGGAGGTCTAGGTTGGACATTAGCAGAAACTATTTCACTGAGGGTGATTAAATACTGGAATAGGCTTCCCATGGAGGTGGTTTTATCGCCATCCCTGGAGGTGTTCAAAAGACGCATTAATGTCGTACTAAGGTACATGGTTTAGCTCCAGATGGTAGAGTTAGGTTATGGTTGGACTTGATGATCTTAAAGGTCTTTTTGAACCAAACAATTCTATGATTCTATGAAATTTGCTCATTAAAAAGCCAGAGAAAGCTTTTTTCTTTTGTGTAATCTGCTACAGCTACATTACGCCTGTTTGTTTTACATTTCATAATATATGTTTAAAAAATGAATCATCATTATTTCTATGCAGAATGTTTGGAAGTGGTTACACTACCAGGAAGTCAGGAGTTCAGAACTGCTGGTGTGGTCCCAAACAGACCATGCTAGAAGAAGTTCTGAACTCTTCTTCCATGAAATACATGTGCTGGGGAATCAGACTGCTAGAGCAGATGCAACAGTGCAGTACCCTGGACATTGACATGTGCTCTGCAGACAGTGACCACCTCCACAACTCTGAGAGTTTATGAGCATATAATTGAGCTGTTCTGTACCACTTGTTCCAGGGATGACAGGAGTCTCTCTATAGCAAATACAAGTACTCTCGGAGTATCTAACTGAGTTTATGTTCTCCTTCAACAGTAGTCATGTAGTGTCTGTTTAGATTACTGAGGGAGCCTAAGACAACTCACTTGACTGCCTACATTTAGTGGGCTATAGCCAAGCCTTAGTGGCCGATTCTCTTTCAGTTCCACGGATTTTATAATGATATACCTCAGACAACTCCATTTGAGTTGGTCCTATTTTTTAATTCATGTAGCTGAGTAGAACGAGTCATATTCTGGGATAAAACTTTTATCCTAGATATTTAGCATTCTTAAATTAACCTGCCTCCTTGCCTCACTCTTCTTTTAAAATAAATAAAATTTAAATAAAAAACTGAGAGTGATTATCTTACTTACATCACTCCATAATGAGCTGTCCTGTGTTAGTAGCATCCATGTTTGGCTAACTTGAGCAAATCGTCCCAGATCAACTAAATTTACGTAATGGAAAATCTACATCAGAAAAACAGACATACATGATATTAAAAACCATTCAACAAGAAGCACTGCTGTATTATATGATACACAATCACCTATCCTAAATGACAAGAGCTATTTTCAAATTCAATACTTCTTAGTTTAAACACAACTTTTATAGCAGAATGAAAATAATTATTTTCATCAACACTCTTAACAAAGACTATGAAAAGACAGCTTTGCTTAAAAGCTCATACATTCAAGCTGTGATGGAGAGTGACAGGGATGTTGCAAAACTGAACATTTTTCATAAACTATGAGCAGTTCCATTTCACCTATATTAAAACAAGACTTGTTAAAACACCTCACCTAAATCTATTTGAGACAATTTAACTTGGACTAAATCTTTGTAGATTTAATATAGCAATTTTAAATTCAACTTTAAATCACCCATGAAGAGATTTTGTAGTTTCTATGTCAGAGTTCTTTTAAATTTAACTAGTATAATTTGCTAAATATAGCTATAAAGCTTTAATCTCAGAGTATTAAAGTCAATGTGTTGTATTACGGTAGAAAAAATAAAAAGCTATACCGATAATTTGTTTTATACATTTGAATATTCTAAAATATACTACCACCACTAAGCAACATTTTGAAAAATTAAATCATATCATTCCAAAAGGATCTTGTCCTAGTACTTAATCTTAGATACAGCAATCTCAGGCCATAAAAGTAAGAGACTAAATGAAGATTACATTTGACAAACTTCTGCCATAGCTTTTGACAAATGTCAAAATAGTATTTCTGCCAACAGAAGAAACTTGGTAAAACAAAATGGGGGAAAATATGGTAAAATATGATGTCTTTGCTATAGAAGCAAATATGCATTATATTATAACCATCTGAAAATATAAGATGCGTTTAAGAGTCAAAGACAAAAAGCATATGCAGAATTTTACATAAGACAGCTGGATTATTTACATACTAAAAACTCCCACATGCATAATCATTTGCAGAACTGAATTACTACATCATATGTTGAAATATAAATATTTGATATGAAACACAACACTTTAAATCTGTGGTTCTAACTATGAAAAACAAATCAGTTGAAAGGGACACAGTTAATAAAATCCTACATCACTTTTCCTAAACCAGCTTGCATATAAGGAAAACTGTATGCTTGTAATGTAATTATTTTCATAAATGCACAATAATACATCAATGGCAATGGTTTATCCTAGTACAGTAATTGGCTGATAGCAAAAATACAAAAATAACTTTCAAATTTTATCCCATAACCAGTCACTGAAATTTTTCTTATTCATATACATTTTCAAAGAGCTTAGCACTTAAGATATGTACCTTAATAGTAAGATGTCAAAGTAAAAACACAGTGAAGATGCCAGTGTGCTTTATAGAAGAGTATTTCCACATTAGTCATTCAACTTTCCATGCAATAATGAATACAATAAACCTGTTTTTCATTATAGTAGTGTATGAAGTATAATTTGAAATGTGCTCCAGAAAAATGAATGCATACTCTGTAAAGAGCTCACTCAAACTATACAGGCACAAGAGAAATCTTCAGTCAAATAGAGATTTTGTGACTACTTGTGTAAGTGTAGAGTGCATGGATTACCAAAGTGTAGGTTATCTTGGTTATACTGAAATATGTTTTATAATCAATGAGTCACTAAGGACTGTTAGAAGCAAAAAGAGATGTCCTAATAAAAAAAAATAAAAATCTTTCACTAAAGGAAATATTCTTTCTTTCCTTAACAGAAACTTTTATCCTGGTTTATATTCTGTGCAGTTGTACTGAAGTGAACAGGAAACTGAAGAACATATCAGCTAGAACCCATTTTTATCAGACATTAAGTTCCATCGAAAGAAACAAGCAGAAATATCAAGACTATTCTCCCAAGATTTTAAAAGACTTTCTGTTTCAACCTCTAGAAACTATTCAAAGGCCGTATTTTCCATAGCTAGAAAAGGACAAATCAGGTAGGAAAATCACTGATAATGTGTCTTTTACTACTAGCATTTAATTGCATAGGTAACACATTCAAGCAATTTTTCTGCTCCTCAAAATAGATTGCTGTCTGTACTCACTTCATATAAATTACTTAAAATAATTTTTAAAAATCAGTTTTTCTGGCTTTATGCTTTTATTCTGGAATCCTGGGAGATTGCTATAGCCATACAAATTTTAAAGATATTTAGGTGGTTCAGAATGCAGTTGGAGACTTACAAAGATTTTTTGAAGTACAGAAATGTGTAGGTCTTTTTCAATAGCAAATTCCTTCTGTACATCCCATTCCGTCAAAGACTTGTATCCCGTGATAATTACAGCTGGATTCATCACAGGCTTCTCTAACCAAAACTCTGTTTAATTTGGACACATGGATTATTTCCTTAACTTCAAAACTCAATCTAATTTAAAACCCTAAGGAATTTTCACACAGCTTACAGAAAGTATTTGAATAAATGGAACTACATGACTTGTTAGAATGAGAAAGAAAATATTGACTGTATTATTATTCATTAATAGGGTTTAGTTTCACAGTAGAAGAACAAAAGCAAGGCTTTTAATTTGACACTCTCCTGCTAGTAACCTTTTGAATTTTCAGTTCTGAAAAGGTCTGCTGAAACATTTATTTCATGTTAGGTCCACACCACAGTAGCCAGCTTTAAAGCACAGCATTCATTTTCTGTCAATAGCTCAGCACTAGGGGACTGTGGTACCACTGGCTTTTTTAGGAAACTGTAATTTACAAAGCAAATGGTTTCCAGCTGGCCCCGAGGACAGATCTTGTCCCAGCAGTAAATACAAACTGACAGATACTATTCTGCATGGGAGTAGAACAGAAAGCTGCAATAAGATAGCATACTAATAATGATATTTACTAAATACCCTGTGATTTTGAAATTATCCACCACCAAATATAATCTACAGTGTCAGAGTTAATAAAGCCTCCTTATCGTAAGTCCAGCAGACTCTGAGAAGTCCAGGCACGCTTTATCTTCCACAGTCTGTGAATGCTCAGAGCAAACACAGATTTGGCCTGGAGGAGACAGTACCCAGTAACAAACTCCTGTTGATCTATATACTGGATCCACCAAAAAGAGGATTACAGAGGGAAAGAAAGGAAGAAGCAAGAAAGCTCTGCCTTTCCGCAGCAAATAGTTTGGCACTCAGCTAGTGGGAAGCTCTGGTCCGTGCCAGTAAAAAGGAGAGCTCTTTCTGCACTTCCCATACTGAATAAAATAGTGACAGCTCAAGAAAAAGAAACCAGGTGACAGCTACACAGATTTGCACTTCTCTGGGGGTCAAGGGAGCTGCATTCTTTTTACATACAAAATGGAAGCAATTCAGTAGGCTTCCTGCTTTTCTGCAATAAATTTTGTTCCCTCTACACTTTACACATAAATAAAGCCATTATTTTCTGGCTTGCCCCAAAGATCCACAGCTCTAGCTTCCAGCCCACATATATAACAACTTGTATTGCTTATCCCACATACACAAAAAATACTTACAAAAATAATTTCAGCACAGCTGGCTCAGTCTGTTCTTCCTCGCGTGCTCTGAAGAGACTCTCCGGAAGGTGCTCCCCAGCCCTCATGCTTCCATGCCTCTCCATGCACCCCTTCCCAAATCCCTGCACTGCTGCTGTCATTTTTCTTGATTCCAGCCCTTAACCCTCCCTAACCCCACCACAACCCAAGAGAATCAGCTCCCATCTCTTGCGGCCCAACTTCTCTTGGGACAGTACCCTAGGAAAAAATAGGAAACTGCTGCATCCCCATGCACCACAGCAACCCCATGACAGTTCAGTTTGTCCCACCACTGCACACAAAAAAAAGAGGAGGAAGGTGGCAAATCCTTTCTAGCACACCAGCCAGTTAACACAAATGCCCCCTGTCATTCCTTTCCATATGTCAATATCTGGATTCTGTGTATAGATTCTGTGTATTTTTTTCATGTGTATAGTCTTCATGTACATGAGAACTGATTCTTTGTGGCAGCAGCACATGTAACTGCGAACATGATGTGACCTCAAAAAAGAGCAACCCACGAGGACAGCTTAAAATGTCGCTGTATTTTGAGCTCACGGTTTGGATGTCAAAAAACCAAGGCTCATGGATTAAAATAAAATAAACAAATTTCTCCAAACATACAGAAAAAGGAATGATACTGTCAATACTGTTTTAGAACTACCAGAAAGATTACACTATTTCAGGGTTTTTAATGAATAAAAGATGCTAGTACAGACCTCAAAATTCCTGGAAATTTGAATAATTATTTATAGGTTTGACAAGTTTGGTAGGTATGGACACATGTAAGCTATAAAACTATCTTTGATAGACAAATACATACAAATATACACACACTCTTATATAATATTGTCTTTTATACATAATACTATCGTAGTATATAATAGTGCCTCATTAGAAAAGAGAAAATTAGGAGGTGGCACTGTATATTAAAGTTTGGTCATTCTGCTACTCAAACAGTAACTGGATCAATCTCTCTCTGTTTTAGTGGTGTTTACATTTGTACGGAAAAACGTTCCCTTTTGACTGCACTGCTTTTGAAGAAGAGGTTCATATTACAGGTTCTTCCTTAACGTGTATCAATGTCTTAGTAATCGGAGGTATGAGTATTATGACTCCCAAATTCTTTAGGAGAGATACCACTGCCGCTGCAAGAGGCCCACATCTGAATCATTTGATAGCAGAGGTTCTCTGGTTACAGAATGACCCAGCCTAAGAAAACAGCACAGACTAAACCTCACTAATGGACAAACATCAAAATAGACCAGTCTCACAACCATGAAGACAGTATGCATGACCAGTGGAATCCATATGGATAACATCAAGATGAATTTAAGCATGCTGTATTTTTGGTGAGTAAGGTCTGTAAAGTATGTACGTGATTGAGCTTACAACTTCAAGTTTCCTGTGACATCAGTGGTATTATGCACATGCTTAAAATTAAGTATCTGCATTTGGGTTTTAGACTTCATTGGATAAAAATTGAATTATGAGTTCACCACAGCCCATACTATTTAAAAGAAAAACATAGCATGTTTTTCTGAAATACCACTTTAATGGCTTTGCAATGGTAAATTAATGGAAAAACATGACAGGACAAATTAAAGCTTGTAAGTATGAAGATAAAATGAAAACATTTTAGCAGTAGTTCCAATGTATCCCTCAATGGCAATTATTTTCAGTAACCAACCCATAATTTAGTTAAACTGGCCTCTGCAACTGAGAGCCCCACAACCAGTTAATAATTCTGTTCTTTTTGTAAAATACTGCCACAAATCAATCTTCTTGCTTCTGGGGAGAACTACATTCTCTTCTAGAAGTCAGCATATTAACAACCTTTCACTCTCTGAAGTTACACTTTGCAAGGATACAAAAATACCAAACAAAGCAACCTTTTAAACAAACAATTTAAACAAATTGAGTAAAAATGTTCTGAAAGAAATCTCTCTCTACCCACTGTGCCATTGCAGTACATTCCTCTCCTCAACTCCTGCTTTCTGGCCTAGCCATTTTTTCTGTCTTAAGGAGCTGCATAATGTCCATGCAGTCTTATCAATATTTTTAAAAACTTAAACTGCTTCCTAGCACATCACATCTTGGGCTTGGCTTATCAGCCTCTATTCACTGCAAATAAGCCCCTTTAATTCTCTCAGGAGTTCCACTTTCTACCTATCCTACAGATTTCCTGGTTTCTTGCTCTCCCCTTTTGAGTCTCCCTCTTTCTCTTTCAATTGCAGCTCAGAGAAGCTTCTGGATGCTAGGATGGAGCATGCAGAATATGATCAGATGCCACTGAAGGAAAGAATAGCATTACCATCCTTCAAAGCACTCAGAATGCAGCATCTAGAACAATGTAAACAGGAACCTTCCTTCCCATCGCACAAACACATCCTTTTCAACAAAATATACACCATTTATGAAATATACATATAAAAAAATAAAAAGAAGACAAACCTGTAATAAGGCTTTTTCTGGTAAATGAGTTGGGTTTTGTCTGACATGAAGATCACTTGATTCAAAACAGTCTTTCTGACTCTCCTTTGCCAAACTCTGAAAAAAGATGGTACAACAGAAGTACAATTTTATCTTAATTGCATGTTCAAAGTTTTAAATACATTTAAATATTTTTTAAAAATGAAATTACATTTGCTAAACTTAACTAGATATTTTCAAATCCCCATATAGTTCTACATCTATGAACATCTGTAACTGCCATTACTGAGAATAATCATAGTTCTAGGGTGCATCTTGTGACTTTGCATCGTAGCAATACGATATAGAAGCATAGGAGACCATCTGCACTTCCAGACTAAAAGACTGTGTACACTAGTTTATGCACACAGTATGACTGAAACATAATATTAGAACATGGAAATTTTTCAGACAAGCCTTCAAAAGGTATCACTACCTAAGTCTCTTTGACGTTAGACTGTATCCAACAAACACTGCATGAAAGGTACTAATGTATGTTTCATACAGAATCTCAACATGGGAGTAACATTGAATCTCCTTTTTTTGTCTTTTATGCTAGCTCTAGAAACAGAAGAGTTTCAGGGGTTATAAAATTGTTTTAAATTTAAATATTCCTACAGGGAAGAGAGGAGAAGAGAAAAGAAAGAGGAAATACACAGGAAAAGAGAAAATAGGAATAAAGAAAATGGCATGGAAGAAAACAGTGGGATGGGAAAGCCAGAAAGAACACAGTAAATGGGAATAATTAACTTCCCATTCTGAAAATTGATTTGCCCTTTAGAAGCAATACAAGTTCTTCTAGCCTGTTAAGCTTATTAAATACTGCAATCATTGGTGGTTTCATTCTGCATTTTAAAATCAATCAATGTCATCTCAGACGCCCTGGATTATCCAAGATATCCACAAAACACCGGCACAGGACTGGCAGAGGATTCTCACACTTCTTGAGCTTTAAACTGGAGGCCTATCTGGTCTAGCCTTGTCTGAGATATCCCAGGACATGCTGAATTACACCAGAAACTACATTTAGGTGACTTAATCGCCCCCGAAATGCCTACAGAACTGTACACAATACAAAATTATACAATAAAAAAATGTGGATTCAGTTACATGCTTTGTGTTACATACATTCTATTTTAATTATGGAAGTCAAACCAACCCTTGCAACTGCTGTTAAGAAAGGAAAGAATTAAGAAAATTATTTCCTAAGAATTACTTCATACACTCCAGAAACAGGACATTTTTTGTGCACTCAATCTAGTCAGACTAACATTTTAAGTATTTTAAGATACCAGCAAGAAAACAGAATAAAGAAAATGCACGGGAGAAAGAGGAAACAAAAATAAAAGTGAGAGTCTACCAACTAATTTGAGAGAACAGGGAATCATAGAATCATAGAATGGTTTAGGTTGGAAAAGACCTTCAACATCCTCAAGCCCAACCGTTAACCTAACACTGCCAAGTCCACCACTAAAAGAAGCAGGACTAATTACAGGTTTACTTCAGCAAGGATTTGACAATGGGTGTCTGGCAGCCAGCAATTGATAAATTATCCACAGCTGGTTTCCATTCTGACCATCCTACAGTAGGGGAAGGAAGAGGAGCCAAACAGTGGAAGAGCTTTATCTGTGTGAGTGTGATTTTTGAAGCCCCTATGCTATCGGCAGTGGCTGGGTCGTACAGCTTCCACCTCTGCACCCCCTCACACAGTATCTGCTGAGCATCCCACCAAGCTATGGCATTCTCTTCCTTGGCAGGAGAAACCTTCCCAGAAATGAGAAGAGCCCTGTTTTTCACAGTGAGACCAGGTAGGGCTGCTGGCAGTGGGGCATATGAGGCTGTCCATGTGCTGCCAACTCTCAGTTGATCATAATTTTGGTTATCCCACACTTTTTGGGATGAAATGAGGCTACTGAGGCTTTTCCGTACTCTGCAGGAATCTACACTTCTTGGATTGTGGTTACAGGGATCCAGAGGCATCATCTGTACTGATTCTCATCTCAACAGGTAATACTACACCTAAGACATCAACCACCTGATCCAAGCCAGCTGGAGCACTGATAACATACAGCAATGCTCAACCCCTTTTGCTGGTCATAAAGATATGACCAAACTTTTACTTGTAGAGTACAGAGGTAATTATCTGCTTCCCGTAAAACTGTAAGGACTGAATAGTGGTATCAGTAGTAGTATGCTAATATGCTTCATTTAATATTGATAGAGCTGGTTTTCCATAACAGTTGGAATTAATGGAGTTAATCTTTAATCACTGAGCTTACTATATTTAAAGTATTATACTGCATACCTCAAAATATGCTTTCGTTTTCAAAGAATTGTAGGCCTCTGCATGCCAAGCTTTCATGACAGCATTTAAATATATTTTGTTAAAGATCTTTTGTAGTCTCTTCACTGCCACTGAAAACAGACATAATTATAACCAATATAACCACAAGTAAGAACAAGTTAGCCATGTAAATGCTTTAGATGAATGACTGTCTGTCAAATTATATTCCAATAAAACAGCTATTCAATTAAGCTTCTGTAAGGAAATAAATAACAACTTTTTACAATAGATATAATTAAGGCCATTGCAATAGGATTTCAAGTTAGCAGGAAAGGCATAAACAAGACATATTTCCAATTTATCAGAGTTGTGTGTAAGACATTACTGATCTACAGCTTGATCTACCAAATTACTCAACAGTTACACAGAGCTTGGAGTTGCAAGACGTATAGAGACCTCAGTGCAATAAAATACAATAACAAAACTTTAATAATGTTTGAGATGGCACATAAGTCAGAAGTCATAAAAACAAATTCAGTAAAGTGCTAAGTGTTACACCAGTGTTAAATGTACAAAGAACATTAAAGCAGCTTATGAAAGATCACACGTTCATTATGAATTAACATAAATATTTTAAAAACTACTTTTAAGAAAAGTTTGAAGGAATTTAATTTTCTTTAGCCCAGCACAAAAAACCAAAAACATGGGGAATACTATATAGTCCTTCTATATGTAAAAGTTGTTACAAATACAATCAAAATAAGATGCTCTTCACAGCCACTGAAATAAAAACAAGAGGAAATAAGTGCAACTTACTGCAAAATCTTGTCACAATTCAATTTTTTTGTCAGTTAACTTCATAAAAAACTGCAACAAGCTACAAAGAGAGCTGAGAGACTCTTCTTACTTGAGAATTTCAAGGACATGCAGCTGTTTAAGTAGTTTAGCTCTATATAATCATATCTCATGGACAAAGACTAAGCTTGATTAGTGTGATATCCAGTCTTCTCTCTCAAAAGAAGGATTACAATGTAAATTTTGATATATTAAATACACACTATGGAATTACTTATCTGCTGTTTTTTTTACAAAAAGGTGTATCAAAATTCAACTTAAATAAATTATTATAAAGGTACATTCAAGATCTATTCTTTTTCGTTAAAAAAATACCAGTGTGTCTCAAATCTGGCAAGAGGTGCAATGTTGATGGTATACACCTAAGTTTGTTTTCTGTTACCCGAGTCATGCTAAAACACTATGTGTTCTAGGGAACAAATTGTATGATATTACTTAATTATACTGTTTAATAAGTGTACACTTTACATTTTAATTACAAACTTTAATAAATTTTTAGGGTATACAACCAGTAAGGTCCAGAAACTGGAAATATTTGCAAAGCAAATGCCTACAAAATAATACCAAATTTTCATTGCCCAAAAGACACAAGAGAGGAAGACAAAACCAGAAACTCTCAGGATTGCAAGTAAGTCCAAACTGCATCTACATTGATTTGCTCTGGTTGTCATCAATGAGAATCTAACAGCCCAACAAACTGCCCCTTTAACTCTTTCTCACAACACACTTTTCACTCTTGAACTTTTTCCACAGATCACTCCTTCATTGGTTGTGTTCACAGTACAGTAGAGTTCTACCATAAGCAGATCCCCAAAGCGATCATATTTTATTTAAGAAAAAAAGACACACTTCTTTTTTTTTTAAATTCTCTGTCATTCCAGCTACCTTGTTTACAATGCAGTCTCACAAACAATTATACTGTCACTAGTCAAGAGGCAATGAACAGAATCACACAGCCAAGAATGACTGAATGGCTTTTCTCCATACGTCAGCTTGGTCATGGAAGGAAATAGTGTGTAACCATGCCCTCTACATGTCTCCTCCTCTGCTTCTGGGAATTTAAGATTAACAAAAGTTGCCTTGCTGCAAGTAATATTTAGAAGAGAATATAAAAGGAAGTAATAAAAAACAATACGATGTCTCTAAAAACTGCCTAGGGGTGTGAGACAACAGCTTGGGCCTCCAACTCTGTAAAAGCAATATTTGAGTCACACATAACTGCCTGAGCTCAAGCTCAAACCAATAGGTAGTGCTTTTGGCCCATTCTTTACTTTTATGAAATTTCTGTCTGGGTGGACTCAGGTTAACAGAGTCTATGTTCACAGCTACTGTTGTGTGGAGACATTTAAAAACCAAAACCCATACCTGCAGGATCTGTGGAACACAAAGTCTCAGGCAGAACGAACAAAGCATTTACTTTTCCTGTCTTCTGACTTTTTTACTTGATTTTGATCTTCACTTCTGCCCCACCTCTCACTATGCATTCCCTCTAACTGAAGCTAAGTCTCCAACTCTGCAATCCCTCCTGTTTTATCCCTGTCACTGTACACTTCACCTCCCAGAAAAGCAACCCAACTCACTCCACCCCATACTTCTGACATACTCTCCATTTCTCGAACACCTTCCAAGACTGCTTTGCATCAGTATCACTGCTCAGTCTTTAGAGATGAGTACCAGCACCATCTGTCCTAGCAAAGCAGTACAGGGAACTGCCTCACACGGCATGTATGGCATCAAGTTGCCACAGGTCAACCAAAGAATGCCATCCTGCAAAAAGATAACTAGATAAATTTTTGGACCAAGCATATTTAATTTATATGGCATAATGTTATTTTACATAACATGTATTTTTTGTCTTACGCAAATCAGCTATATAGACTTACGTATCATTTTTTCCTTGCGAATCTGCACCCACATGTTCCACTTCTGTACAGTAACTCTTAATATTTGGACGTTATAATGAGCTACTACTAGAGCCATCTTCTCCTTTGCCTTTTTTCTTTTGTTCTTTGTCTGTAGATTATATTTCATCCATCCTCTAAATTTTAAAACAGAATGAGTAATTAGTATGGCTCCTGACCTGAAGGAAGTAAAATCTACAAAATTCTGCAATTTGCTGTAAAATACAAAGCAGTCAAGCTCAACAATATAAACTTCTGAATAGAACCGATGTTTGTTATCTATAATTTAAATAAAATATGCATTGGTAATATTTTTCAGTAGTGATTCATTCACTCATTTTAATAAAATTTCTACTCGTTCTTGATATTCTATAGTATCGAGCAATAAAAACTCGCTCGCTTCCAACATCATACACTCCTGCTGCTGTCAGCTATACTTTAATGTACAGATCTATATTTATAGAAGGACATTTGAGTGTTTATACAAAATAATTTAAAATTGATAGATGTATGCATTTATTTAATTGCTATTTACATTTTATTGACAATACGAATAAAAATTAATGTAATAGAATACAAATTCAATTTCTGTCTTAACAGTTTTAACCTTTGGAAAAATCCCATTTCTCTTCTAAGCTAAGTAATAAGAAATAATTAGATTTGGAACAAAAAATGTATTTCAAATTAATCATATGTCACTGACATATTAAAATACACTATCTCTCCATATCTGATTTGCTGGAAAGACTACTGAATAAATTAGACTTTACATGACTACTTTCATTTGCCAAAATCTCATCTCAAATAATAATAGTAAAAAAATACTCATTTCTTATAGTTGGGAGCAATTATAAATGGAACATTCTACTGTTCCAGTCCAACTTCTATGATAATTAAACAAAACTGTTAGCTCAGACAATCTTCAAAACACTGCTGTAAAGGAAAAAGGAGTAAGCTTCCATGTCCCTGTTGTATAAGAGAAAAATAATAAAAAGATTTATCTTGTAGCAATGAAGACTCAAGTATTAGGAGAATATTTCTAGGAGAAAGGACTATAAAGGACTGGAATAACCTTCCTGCAGAGATTGTCATGTCTTCAACACCTGTGACTTCTAAAATGACTAAAAACAGCCTAGACAAATGTTCACCAAGGTTAACCACAGCAGAGCTTGAAAATCTTCACCTCCCTACCAATCCTGCGATTCTGTGATTCTTAGTAAGGATTTACATCAGGGTTCCGGATCTACATCAGGGTTCCTAACAAGGTTGTACTTCCTATATAATTAGCATCATATGCTTTTCAAAACAAAACAGCCTAAAGTTATCTATTCTAAATGAAGGATCCTTAAATTTTGATACACATTTACAATACAAGTTTATAACATGTTTATCTGTTGGGATTATCATATTTTAAAACACATCTATGTATTATCCTCATTTTTAAAAGGAGAAGTTGGATTCCATAAAGTATGAGTTACCTAATCTCAAGCATAAAGGCAACAAAAGAAAGACCAGAAGAGAACCCAGATCTTTCACTTTCAGACCCAAATGCAAATTATCCTTTTATTCCTGGGTATACTACCACATTCTGGGCAAACGGAGCTGACTGAAGTGCAGAAATGTCAGAGGACTTTGTTCAGGTCTGGAACAGGCAGAAACTCAGAATGAACTGGTTTTAACATAGAATAGCATTGCTGAAGAAAAATAAACCCAAATCTAAGTTTCTAATCTCTCTTCATGCTGTTCTATTAAAATGAAAACTTTTTTCTCCCCCAAAGGAGCTACATAAATAACCCTTTGGTAAAAGATTTTTCCTAAAGATGTTCCTGAGGTATGTGTAAAATGTATATACTTACCCAAAATACAGCTTCATTAAGTTTCTGCTGTAAAAATCCCATGCTTTGGCACATAATTCTTTAGTTATCTAAACAAATCATTTATGACATTAGTACAAAAAACAGTGCTATTATGACTATTTAAAAATCAGAGAAAAACATTAAAGGAAATGCAAAGTACCATATTACTTGCATTAGTTATAGAAGAGTAACATGAGAAAACTTAAGAATAGAATATGAATATTTTGTATTAGAAAATTTGTTCACAGCATAGAGTTAATGCAAATGTTCAATGATTTTTACCAGTTGTTCACCATCTAGTCCAAAAACAGCTTTCAGGTAAGTTTCTGAAATCCTCTTTAATTCTGGGTGTAAGGACAGATCAATACACATATACCTTTAAAAGAGAAGTAAATAATATTAACCATGTTAGTATCCCCAAAAGAAAATGCATATTTTCTTTGTACCTAACAGATTATAGTTACACGTTATGGTATTATAATGTTATTGAAAGATTAAGGCCTATATCACTTTCCTTACAAATACCTATAACAGCCACTTTTAAAATGTGTTTACAAAATATAAAACCAAATTATCATGTTTTATTGCTACTCTTAGAGCTATGTTGAAGTGCTGTGGACATCAGAGTTTAACACATTCCATGTAATATCTATCTGGGAAATTTCCTATCAGATTACACTATTTTGTTTCTCATCTGAATATTTACTGAACAGCCATTTCAAATTTTCAGTAGTTGGAGCAATATTTCCTGTTTTCCTGATAGGCCAAGCCATGTCTAGGTAAGTAAACTGTTTTGTTTTCATTAAAAACAAAACAAAACAAAACAAAACAAAAAGATGCATTGCAAGAGCCAAATAAATCAAAAAAGACATTACACTTCCATGAAAAATATGGCAATGAAAAATATTTACTAGAGGGCTAAATTAAAGGAAATCAAGTCCGTTTTCAACTTCTAGGAAATACAACATAAATAATGTAAACAGTAAAACCTCATCATTATGGTTCAGGCTGTTGGTGCACCCTGTGACATGTGTTACCTCACAGAGAACCCCAGGGAAAGGACAAAATAAGGGCAAAAATCTGCATGACCCACTGTAGTGATTTTACCCGTTACCACAATGTACCTAAGTCAGTCTATGAATGCATGCACAGTGGCTGGGGGTCCAGACAGCTCCCAAGATCTCTGCTTGAGAGGGCCCAAAGATTAAGGATTCATAATCCACCTCCTACTGAAAACTTCAACCAGAAGTGATGATTGCACAGTATATAAAAGTGAGGTAAGTACCTCCCTGGCTAGCCTGTAGAAATTACAGCTTCTTCCCATTGCAAAAGATGCCTAGTTTCCTAGTATTAACCATGCCTCTGTCCATAATATTCCTTTCCCTCTTTTTTCCAACTCTCATTCCTAAAGTGATCAGCAGCATGTTTTGGGGTCAGTTTTAATCCAGTGATGAACACTGCACCTTTCTGATAATGATGAGGCATTTTACAGAACTCAGTATCTCAACAGAACAGTTCCTTACTAAAAAGTTGTACCAGTGACAGCAGCACACCTACTTAAACTGATGTCTAAAAGTTGGATGGTATAGACTTTACATGTAACACAGAATTTAATTAATACTGAATTAACGCCTTCCATCTCCTTGAACAAAGCTTTTTCACTCCCTAGCAGTTTTTGCCTCCAGGCACCCTTATTGTTATGAAATTTTGTCCATCTTTTTTCTTATCTTCTTATTCCCTTACACTACAATCTCAGCAGAAGTTCTTCTCAATATTTAAAGTTTTCTTGCAGCTTGATCCTGATGATATCCTAAAACATCAGGCTTGATTATTGCACAGCTGTGACACCTACAAATGAAACTGCATTCTCGGATGAAGTCCAGCAAATAAAAAAGAGGATACTCCATCTTCTTAGTGATTCATGTCAGTGCAAATACCATTATAGCTTGTTGCTCTTCCCTCTGCACTAATTGAATGTTTTTTCCCTGATATTCAAAACCTTCAATGGACGAGAATGTATAAACCTCAAAGATGGCATATTTACAAAACCCAGCTTTCCTTGAAACACACCTGAACCATGAAATCACGTAATTATATGTGTAGTTAAAGCAAGAGAGGAAAAAATTTTCACAGGAGCTCCACCAACAGTAATGAACATGCTTCAGAAAAAGGCCAGAACATATGATCTCGCAATATTCAAAACTAATGCAAAACTCTGTGTCTTGTTTTCTGCACAGAAAGCTAAGAATACACATACACACTTTCTTTTGTCTGGTACAGACTAACGATAAATCCATCAAGGGCTTTTTTTCTGGGTGGGTAAAAAGCACTCATAAATCTCAGAAAAAGCACTTGCTGTGAAATATACTGTAAAAAGGTCAGATGGCACTTTTAGCCTACAAATATTGCACATATTTAAAAGACAAAATAAATTCTCCCATTTAAGTCAACCACAGTATTTTCTAAGATTCCAGTGTACACAGAAGTAAATCCTTAGCCTTTTTTATCTCATGGCTTCACTTAAAAGGGTGAAAGAAGATACAGAAGAAAAAAAATTAGAAACTACAAGCACTACAATCAGTGTGTGAAGGTCACATCTCTGGTTCATATAGATATATACACCGTAGACAGCAATAAAGTTATAACAAGTAACACTACCTCAGTTTTGATTACCACAAAAGTAAAGGTTTAATATACTAATTACATAAAGAAGAGCATTAAATAGAGCATTCATTAGATATCATGTAGAGAAAATAGATATAAAAAGAAAAATATTTTATTTTCTTAAATGATATTGTCTTACTGTATTTTCAATATCATATGCCATTAATATTTGCAAAAAAAAGGAATTTTAACATATAACTTGCAGTCTACACAGCAGAAGCTGTGCCATTCGCATGTTTTGAAAGTCCAAGTTCAATATTGTGAACCATGTAGCACACACACAGACATGTAGTATGTACCATGAGAGAGTATCTAATCCCTTTTCCATAATTTCTCTGAGCTTTTCTTCTAGAAAAGTAAGTGGATCTTCTGGCTGCATAACAATTACACCACAAAGCAGCACCTGCAAAAAGAAACTGCAAATTAATGCCTTTGTGTTAACAGCAAAGTATCATCTAGACAGGAAACTGTTAAAATAAACACAACTTTACCAGCATCTTTTAAAATATTGTAAAATAGAAGCATTTCTTTTTATCACTTACTTCCATTTTCATTAAATTTGTAAAGGTAATATTGCACATATTTCAATTGCTAGACTTCAAAGCACTGGGTTTAAGATAGTAATAAAATATATGGTATTTCTTCAACAATTCCTGCTAAGAATTTCATTGCTTTTAATATGCATTTAAAAATATATATAGAAGACTGGATAATTTTATTTACTTAATGAAAACCAGAATTTAAAACAAGCTTAATCCTGTGTAGTAAAGTGTATGTTGAATGAGAAGCATGACCAGAAATTGATCCTGTAATCAGTATTGAAAACAAAACGCAGTTTAAATAAAAAGATGTGCATTTCAGGATTATGTTATCACATTGCTTTGCATTATCTTTTAATAATAACACACAATAACCAATAAACCATTTTTCTCATTTGTCCTTTAGCTGTCTTCAGCTAAAAGACACAGATTATTTACTTTTGGATTGTGAGCTTACATACAGCACGAACATCCAAAGTATACTGATTTTTAAAAGCATATGGGGAAATTGCAGTTATTTAAGTAAATATTTAATGAAAACTGTAAACTAGAAGTTTTTCTGCCTGGTAAAAGTTTCAAAACATGACTGTGTATCTTCAACTAGACATTAATCTACATTAATGCAAAAGATGCTGCCCTGAGGGACATGCTCTCTTGTTTCTATTTCCCTCTGTCTGTTATAAAGAAAATAGCTTTTATTAGTTATCACAAAAACAACTTTCGAATTTTTAGATTTTTGTCCATCCCTGACACTTTGAGAGCCCTTTTTCCTTTGTCTCTCTTCACTTTTCCCTACCACCACTCTCCATGGTGCAGCTGGATGGGACACATCTACTTTTTGCCATTCAGAGTCTGCTCTAGCCTCTATAAGCTTGTCAACAAAATTCTGACTGATATCTCACCATCCACTTATGTTTAATTTTCCCAAAGCATGGCCTCTCACCGGGGAACTCAGTGGGTAGAAATACATTCTCTGTTTTCTAACATCCATACTGATTCTGACTTGCTATTACTGTAATACAGCTCATCCATATAAATATAAGACTAAATTTTAACACTAGGAAATATCTGAAGCAACTGCTACATGTTTGATGGATCGAGACAATACAAGGAAAAAATGTTTTTCACACTGTACAAACTCAAATGATGCGATACTACTTTCCTTTCAAGACACAGCTTCTTGCTGTTATTAAATCAATATGGAGCATGTGCTTGAATCCTTTTGAGGAAGCACGGTGGAAATTAACATAAATAGCGTAAATTTGAAGGGATCTCTAAAGGTTGTTGAGCAGAAGGTGTGAATGCCCCATCACTGGAAGGGTTCAAATTCAAGCTGGACGGGACTTTGAACAGCTCGACCAAGTGAAAGAGGTCCCTGCCCATGGCAGGGGGGCTGAACTAGATGATCACTGAAGGCTCCTTGCAACCCAAACTCTTCTATGACTCCATGGTTCTATGATTCTAAGATAAGATCAGTACGAAAAGGCAAATAAAAATACTTCTTTATGCACACAAACAATGAAAGGCAACTGTCTTCCATTCAGACATCTTGAATACTTATAACACTAATCAACATAGATTCCAACCTTGGCAACTCTTCAATCTTCTTTAAAAAATGTAATTTGCAAGGTATAGCTTGATGGTTGACTATATTAAGAAAATATTATAAATCCATCACTTATCATTGTAATTCATGACAAATAATGTAATTGTAAGTAATATACAGGCAGTTAAACGGCTTTCATTACAAATTTTCCTATGGACAGATTTCCAAAAGCCAATCCCAATGTTGGTCGGCTACTCCCTCTGCTGGATTAAGGCAGTACGTGTCTGCCATACGAATAACATTATTTCAACTCTTGCTTAACTTTTCCTCCCCGTTTTCCAAACAAGCACAACATCTTCTTTTCATTCAGATGTTCTGAAAGGTCTCTAACACAGGAAACCCGAACTATCCAACCACATACTGGAGTGCAATGCCTCTGTTGAACATTTCAGAACTCCTTAATAAAACTTAAATACGGAAGAAATTGTAACACCCGGTCTTGCAAACCTCATTCAGGTACTCTTCAGTCATGCTTGGGCCAGGTATGAAACAAAACAATTAAGCCAAATCTGTACAAGTCTGGCTATTTTTATTAGACTTCTACAAGACTCAAAAAAATCTGAAAGTGTCCACTGACAATTTATTCTCAGCCTTTACATTTTATTTATTCATAACATTAAACAACTAAAAGTATACTCATACACCAAATGATCATTAGTCATATGTTACCACAACCCCCAGCTAAGCAACTACCAAACAGCTAACAAAAAAAACCAGAAAACAACAAACCAACAAAACTGCTACAGCGCAACTAAGTTATCAGGCTAGAATTAAATATTTAGGTCAGTTTTTATAACAACTGCTTCTATTAATCAATTTGAAGGGCTCATCTGTTGTTTAAAAGTTCACAAAGGAAAGGTCCTAAAATCATGCAGCATTCAGTTTAAAGCTCAGTGATTGAAAAACCATTTTTACCCTCCCTTCCTGTACATTTAGGAATTGTTAAAAATACATTCATACCTACATAGACATCCTTACTCCTTATTAATGTGTGAGAGCTCTTGAAAATCGGCATATTCATCATTTGAATAAAATAAAATATTTGATACTGATATCCAACAAGTCTTACAAGCTCTTCAGCTAGAGCATCATTTCATTATTGAAATGACCTCAGTACACAAAGCAATAGTTTTGTTGATGTTAACAGACATTTTCTAAACAGTAAATTCCATTTATTTCCAACACTAAACAGACAACATGACTGAGTGATGGCATGGATGATGACTATCAGCTGTGTCTTAGAAAACATTCCTTAAGAGGACAAAGAAACATCCATGTATTGTCTATAAAGATTTCCAAAGTAAAAAGTTTCAAGACCTATGTTCTATGCCTCAAAAATCAGGTAATCTAAGCACAACATATTCCTTTTTACAAAAAACTCTTAACAGCGGTGTATTTTCATCATTTTCTCTTTCTCCTAGTCTTGGACAAATCAACACAGCATGTACCCAAGAGAAATTTATTAAGGCTATAGCAAGCTTTCAACTTAATGATTCTCCCAAAGCCCATAAGCTATCTGGAATCAGTAGCTGTCATTTGGTGTAGCTTTGTTAACAGCTTCTGTTGTTTTCTTGCAAACCCTCATAATGTGCAGTGATTTTCCAGAAGCACCTACTAAAATCAAAAGACTGTATGTTTTCTTGATGAATATAAAAGAATGAACTAAATAGGTTCAGAGACTCTCTTTTCTGAGAAGCTTGGATAAAAGCCCTTGACCATGGTTGGTTTTGATGTGTTGTGACTACTGCTCATCATTAGTAGTCTTACTGTCTACTTGTGTTTTTCATGCCTGTTTGTATTGCTTATGTCCATTTGCTGACTCACCATCAGCCTATAAAGCACTAGGGCAGGGAACATCTTTTAATAAATATACAGCACCCACCACAGTCTGAGGCTTTCAAGCATTATGATGATGGTGACTACTACAAGAAGTAGTATGTGAGATCAATACTAAAAAAAAACCAAGAAAGAAATGAATTTTGTCATTTTGATTTGTTGTTACAAACGTGATTTCCCAGCCTCATACTTCCAGTGCTGAAGCTGTGCTGCTCACTGTATATTCAAATTACATTACCATTTATACATTTTAGCTATTCCATAATACCTTGCTTAAATGTCAATGCAGTGTTATAAATATTAAATATTATTGTTACATCTCTACCTGCAACAAGAGACTACACCCTAAAACCAGATGCATTTTGCAAAGACAGTAAAAGTCTGTCATTCCCAGGAGGAGTCCTAGCAAGGCGGGCAACAGCCCAAAGCAGCAAATTAACAGTGATAATGAAACTGATGCAAAACTGCAACAAAATGGTCATCAAATTTGTCTCTTCTGGAGACCCAGAAAGCCTGGTTTGCTACTCCTGTACAGGAGGAGGAGTGAAAGAGGAGGGTGTGCACAAAACACATAATGAGACCAGGACAGGCCATGAGCTTCAGCCAGATTAGAAAGCCTGGCTTCTCTCAAAGGCTTCTCTCTTTCAGCCATAGAATCATAGAATGTATTAGGTTGGAAGGGACCTTAAAAGATCATCCAGTCCACCCCCCCTGCAGTAAGCAGGGACAATGTTACCAGATCAGGTTGCTCAGAGCCCCATCAAGCCTGACCTTGAACATCTCCAGGGATGGGGCCTCTACCACCTCTCTGGGCAACCTGTGCCAGTGATCTACCACTCTCATGTTGAAGAACTTTTTCCTAATATCCAACCTAAATCGACCCTTTTCTAGTTTAAAACCATTACCCCTCATCCTGTTGCTATATGTCCTAGTGAATGGCTCTTCTCCAACTTTCTTATAGGCACCTTTCAGGTACTGGAAGGTCACTATAAGGTCCCCCTGGAGCATTCTATTCTCCGGGCTGTACAACCCCAACTCTCTCATCCTGTCTTCGTAGGAGAGGTGCTCCAGCCTTTTGATCATCTTTGTGACCCTCCTCTGGACCGACTCCAGCACTTCAATGTCCTTTTTGTGCTGGGAACTCCAAAGCTGGACACAGTACTCCAGGTGAGGTCTCACCAGAGCAGAGTAGAGGGGCATAATCACCTCCCTTACCCTGCTGGCCACACTTCTTGTGATGCAGCCCAGGATACGGTTGGCCTTCTGGGCTGCAGATGCACAGCGGTGGCTCATGTCCAGCTTCTCAACCACAAGTACCCCTAAGTCCTTTTTCTCAGGGCTGCTTTCCAGCACATCATCACATAGCCTGTATTGGTAACAAGGATTGTTCTGTCCCAGGTGCAGGACCCTGCACTTGGTCTTGTTGAACCTTATGAGGTTCACCTGAGCCCACTTCGCCAGCTTGTCCAGGTCCCTTTGGATGGCACCCCTTCCCTCTGGCACGTTCACCTCACCACCCAGCTTGCTGTCACCAGTGAACTTGCTGAGGGTGAACTCAATCCTGCTG